GGGTACGGCGCGTATTTTGGTTAGGGATTCGCGTGGAAACGAACAAAGCGTCCGTGCACTGCTGGACAGCGGAGCCCAAAATAGCTTTATAACGCGACAATGTTGTCAGCGCTTAGGCTTAGTAATAAATAGGTCACTTTCATGTCCTGTAGTCAAAGGTATCGGAGGTACTAGTAAAGCTACCCAGGGATATATAAATTTAAAATTTTATTCTCGGATAGATCGTAATGTTAACTTTGATATAAATGCACTAGTAGTGGATAGGGTCACTGAACGGCTGCCTACCGTTTCGGTTGACACCTCGGCAATGATTGAATTTAAAAATTTGACTCCAGCAGACGACACTTACGCCATTCCTGGAAACATAGACATGCTCATTGGAGCATCGCTTTTCCCTCATCTTTTGTTAAACAATAAGGTCAAGGGCAACTCCTCGCATACCGCGCCTTACGCACTGGAAACCGTATTGGGCTATGTTATCGTTGGCTCCGCCCCCATCATAGATAGTATTTCGGCAACCTCTTATTGTGGTATGGCTGTCGAACCGCTCGAGTCGTTAGTCCGCAAAATTTGGGAGATGGAGGAGGTGAACGTCCCACCCATAGCTAGCTCATATGACAGATTATGCGAGGAAATTTACGTCCGCACGACCGTTCGTGATCGCGACGGTAGATATAGTGTAGCGCTGCCCTTTAAGGGAGATGTTTTATCTCTCCGCGATTCGCGTCAAATGGCGGAAAAACGTTTCTACAGCTTGGAGCGTAGGATGCTCGCTTCACCCCAGTTAAAAGAAGCTTATGACGGCGTTATTAACGAATATATAAGAGAAGGTTACATATCACTCGTGGCTTCGAAATTAGATAATTACGAAGACACACCGTCGTATTTCATACCACACCACGGGGTCATTAGGGAGGACAAACTTACATCTAAGTTATGTGTAGTGCTCGACGCTAGTGCTAAAACTAGCACTCACCGCAATCGGGTGCACAGATGTATAGCTTGCTTTCGGGCACGCCCCAAGCCGTCATTTCCGGAAATGGCGTACCTTAGATCTTGTAGAGTAATACAATCAGTAAAGCCCTTTACGCACACCGGGTCTGATTTCGCTGGTCCGTTTAAGGTCACGCTCACTCGCGGCCGTGGTATAAAATCCACAAAGGCTTACGTCTGCATTTTCGTATGTCTAACTACTCGAGCGGTGCATATAGAACTCGTTGGTGATCTAAGCACAGCAGGCTTTATGGGTGCATTTAAAAGATTTCTATCCCGCCTTGTATGAGAGTATATATAATTTACTTACAAGGCCGTAGAGGCCCTGTAAGTAAATTATATTCGGATAACGGTACGAACTACATCGGTGCAAAACGTATTTTATCAGAACTACATGAGCTCTTAACTAGCAAGTATTATAATTCGGAGTTCGCTCACATTCTAGCCGAGAACCGCATTGAGTGGTCTCTGAACGTCCCAGGCGCGAGTCATTTTGGGGGCAATTGGGAGACTAATATTAAGAGTCTAAAGAGTCACTTATACCGAGTAATAGGAGATCTAATTTTGTCCTTCGAAGAGCTAAGTACGGTGCTCGCTCAAATCGAATGCGTAATGAATAACCGCCCACTTTGTCGTACGTTGTCTAGTGACCCCTCGGAACTGCTGGCTCTAACTCCAGCACATTTTTTAAATTTAACTCCTTTAAAGTATTTGCCCGCCGTAGATATGGATGAGAACAGACTTAGCATTTCCGCACGCCACAAATTATTAGACTGGTTAGTGCAATCGTTTAGGAAACGATGGAGGATGGAATACTTGCATATTTTGCAGTCTCGGCAAAAATGGAACACAGCCACTGAGCCTTTAGCTGTAGGAACTGTAGTTGTGCTCAGCAAAGAGAATACGCCGCCTCTTCATTGGCCGTTAGGAATTGTCGAAGAGGTCTTTCCCGGTTCCGACGGAGTAATTAGGATAGCGTGCGGTTGGGTCTTACCTACGTCCTGTTGTCCGTTTGTGCCCCTTGCCTCTTCCATAATTTAAATTAGCTTTCTAGATTAGAAATTGTAGTTGAATTTAGGTAATCTTAGCGTTAGTTAGTTTGATCTTAGCTCTAGTTGTTTTAGTTATTTTTTGAAGGAAATCCTTCAAGGGCGGGGGAGATGGTTGCGCGGAAAACCATTCGTATTTATTTAATTTGACGGTAGGCTGCCAAATCGGTTATCCCATTCCAAAACGATATCATTCATACCCTCCTATCGACACATCGGGGTGGTGGGGTGGGAGGGAAAAGAAGATGATTCTAGAACATCACATAATCATCGGAACCGAAGATATATAAGGCACGCGCGACCGACGCGCACCCTCTTCCCGCCGCGCTCGTTGTTGGAACCACACCGCTAGTAGAACCGCTTTAGCCTGGAAGCAGTCGAGCTCCAGGAAACCCGCCTCACCTCGTGTGAGATGTAGTCGCGCACCGCCTCTCTCCGGAGTGTTCCAGAAGAAGTTCCAGAAGTCGCAGCTATAGTGCTCGACCGAATAGAAGAAACCCCGGTGAGTCAATATTCCTAGTAGTGTTTTAACCCGCTCCAATTTTGTTTTCTCCTAATCAAGCAGGATTCCTTTCATCGATTTGGCAAATAATAGTTCGTTTTTAGGGAAGAGCGAGTGCATTGTACCGCATGCTATAGTTGCCGTTTATATAAGTGTAGAAACATTTAGTAGATACAGTCCACTTAGATTAATAGCTCGCGTAATAGGGTTTAAGGTTCAACCGGGGAATTAGACTTCGGCAACCTTAGGCTCGACGCTCCACCATACACTATCTAAGAACTCTAAATTATATGCACATATTAGCCAAACAGAATTAGTAATTTAATAATAAGGTATATATTATTTTTATTATTGATTTTAGAAGTACTTTTTTATATATATATATATATATATATATATATATATTTTAATTTTAATTTTTTTAATGGAAACATTAAGTGATGAAATATTTGAATGCTTAGATTGTACAAATATCAACAATTTTCTTAAATTTCTACCCAAAAATCATGATATTACCTTGTTATGAATGCATATCAACATACGGTCTATGATAAAAAACTTTGCCTGTTTAGAGCAAACTATTATAACTTCCAACCAGTGTATAGATGTTATTGTGATAACTGAGGCTAATATTACGGAGTCTATTAGTTGTCTTTTTCAAATTACAGGATACCAAATGTTAACTAGTCTGCGAAAACCATCAAAACAGAACACTTTGAGAGTATTATATGCACTATCATTTCCGACTCGGACTATTCTGCGGACCTAAGAGTATGTGCCGTGTACCGTCCTCCTAAAAACAGTAAACACTTATTTCTTATTGAGCTTGAAAACACTTTACAAAAATACTGTTGTAATAAAGAGTTGTATGTAATAGGCGACATAAATATTGACCTGAATTCCGATAGTCCTGTAAAACATAAATATATTAACTTATTGTACAGCTTGGGTCTTGTACGTGGGATTACTGCTAACGAAATGTACTGCACATGAATAGAAATATCGGGTGGTAAGTTAAGAAAATCTTGCATCGATCATATTAACGCGAGATCCCATATACAAGACCTTTTCACAGCTGCTATGGGTACGACACTGGCGGAACACCGCGCGATAGTGTTTACCTGTGTTGGATTTAGTATACAGAGCGTTTTTAAAATCAAGACTTGTATTAATAACAATGCTCTAATAAAATCATTAAGTGAAATCGAATTGGAAAAAACGAATACCATGACCTGTCCGATACAAATTTATAATTTTATAAATGATAACTTTAAACAATGTTATAAAACCAGCGAATATAAATCAAAAATTAAAATAAAAGCTAAGCGAATAAATAATGAATGGTTAAATAAAAAAACTTTAAAAGAATGTAAATACAGAGATAAATTATTTAATAAATGGACTAAGGACAGCCAAAATAAGATTTTAAAACAAAGCAAGAAACTATGCAAACTCATTAATTCAAAAAAGCAAAAATGAATGGCTAAAATTAGAAATAAATAGTAATAAAAATAATCCACGATATCTTTGGAAAATATTAAATATTTAGATTAACCGGCAGAATAAAACTGTCGATTGATAATTTATTACTGAAAGCCTTCAGCAATGGCAGGAATACAGCTAAAAACATCGCATGCACATTTGCTACGACTTTTGATGAAAATTTGCAACAAATTATACCAAAATGTATAACACCTCCACTGGATTAGTCAATCTATCGTGAAAACGCCAATGTATCACGTACGTGAGGTATATACCTGCAGACACGACTGCAGTGGAAAATATCATTAAATCTCTAAACCATAATAAAGCTCCTGGTATTGATGGTATACGAGCCATAGATATTAAAAAAATATGCTCAGTCGTCAAATTAGCTATTACAAATCTTACAAATGCAAGTATTAGGAACGGCAAGTATCCCCAAGTACTAAAAACGGGCATTGTTAGACCTATACATAAAAAGGGTAATAAGTTTGACTACAATAACTATAGGCCGATCACTATATTACCTACCATTAACAAAATAGCCGAGAAATATGTTAGTAGACAGATTTATAACTTCTATGATAAAAATAATATACTGACTAATAAACAGTTTGGCTTTTAACTAGATGAGAAAAAATACATATTGATAGTGTTTATAGACTACAATAAGGCTTTCAATACACTTCGTCATGAGCAACTATTAGATAGTCTGAACGATAATGGTATCAGAGGACCACTGCTGTCGTGGTGTAAGGATTACCTCACCGACAGACAACATGTGGTTAAAGTGGGTGATTCAGTGAACAACATAGTAAATATATCTGTAGGCACTGCATAAGGCTCCGTAAAAGGACCTTTACACTACATTACCTATATAAATAGTCTGGCTAATATTATCAGGCGATGTGAAATTTACCAGTATCCTGATGATACTTGCTTGGTTGCGGCTGGGAGAAATATAAACGACTCTCTCAACCTCCTACAAGACGATTTTAACATACTAAATGGTCATATGATAAAGGATTAGTCTTAAATGCTGCGAAGACTAAGTTAATGTTCATTAGCTCTTGTCAAAATAGGAGTAATGTTATACCTAGGCTCATTGCGCATGACCACCAATGCCTTCACAGACGACAGGTCCAAATGAAATGTAACTGCGAATCCATTGACCTGGTAGAATCACAGACATACTTAGGACTCGTGATAGATAGTCGCCTAAATTGGAAAGAGCATATTGAGCATGTATGTGATGAACGTAGTATGCTTGCAAAATTTTCTATAATTAAATATAAAATTCCGTATAAAATACTTATACAGCTATATAAATCACTGGTAGAGTCAATAGTAGCATATAGTTTGTCTAGCTCTGGTAGAACGTGCAGATCACATTTAGAACGTATTTATCTACTACAATTACGTATTTTAAAAACGATAGTCCCGGAAAGTATTAAAAACCAGTATAAAGAATCAGATTACCACAACCTCTTTAGTCATTGCAATATTATACCTATACACGAAAAGGTAAAGTTTACCCTTCTTATAGAAGAATTTTTCCATGAACAGTTAAAAACTGCACATACATGTGAATACTCTGAAACTCGCAACTCAGGAAAACCTAAAGTAGCCTTACCTAAATACAACAATTTATATGGTAAACGTACCTTAGAATACATGATTCCTAACCTAATTAACCAGCTACCAGCATCAGTAAAATCAGAACTAAATCAAAAAATATTAAATTAAAATTAAAAAATTACTTTATGGAATGCATTACTAATAATTTAAATTATACATAATATGTTTTAATAATAAATACTACGATAACGCCCTAAAACTAGCGCCCTGTATAAAATGTAGGATTCATGCGCGGTGCATTATGCAATAAATAAATAAAATAAAATAAAAGTCGTTTATTTCGACCACAAGGATCATAGAATGTTAGTAACGATACAAATCTTAAAACTAATGTTAGTAAAACTTAAAACTATTTACCTAATTTTCAAAACTATATCTAAGACAGGCCCGATTAGTCAGCACGTGCACCATATGACAATGGTTCAGGTACTGACAATCAAACCTGTCAGAAAATGCCCTCAGGATACTATTGGAACTGGCCCGCACCCTGCGCACCAGGGATGTGCATCGTTTACGCATGGTGGTGTAGAAACAATCCACACGCGCATCCGCGAACATACCCGACGCACTACAATAACGAGGCAGACCCAACAGCACTCTGAATGCATTATTATATTGAACACGCAGGGCATTATACTGTTTCTGCGTGTAATCCACCCACAGACTGCTCGTGTAAAAGGAAGTGCAGTAAGCTCTAAATAGCGTTACTTTAACAGGAACTGAACAACGAGTGAACCTGCGAGCGATCAGGTTCGCTCTAACAGACAATGCCCTGCGCTCTCTCTCTATGTCAGCATCATCTTTCAGGTCAAAGGATACTATATGACCCATGTACTTAAACTGAGACACCCTTCTTAACGGGGTACCGTATAACTTAATGGGTGGTATATACGAGGGCAAGGCTTTACCTTTAGCCTGAAAGACCATGCATTCGCTTTTCTTGACATTATAAATCAATCCGTGACTGCGGGCGTAGCTCTCACATATGCTCAACAGTTTTGCCGAGCCACAAACAGAAGCACTCAGCAACACCATGTCATCTGCGTAACTGATGTTGTTGAGGCATACTCCGTCAATATGACAACCGACATGTGTGGTGCTAAGCAACTCTATCAGCGCATTCACATAAAGGTTGAAGAGCTTAGGAGAAGTTAAGCCCCCCTGTCGTACCCTGCACTCCAACCCATATGGCTGCGAATAGGTTTCGGACCATCGCACGACATTGACCTGGTTTCGATACCAAAATTTGAAGATCCTAGTAACTTCTTCCGGCAGTCCAGTATCTTTCAATTTCTGCCACAGGATATCGTAATTTACCAGGTCGAACGCCTTGCTAAAGTCCAGAAAACAGGCATAAATAGGCGTTCGTCTAACCGAATAGTACTTCACAGTTTGCTTCAAACATAATATAGCCGACTCTGTTGACAAACCCGGCCTGAAGCCAAACTGATTGTCGTGTAGGCATATATGTCTATCAAGCTGGGCGCTAATCAAACTGAAAAGCACCTTTGCAACAACCGTGGCATAAGTTGTTGAGATGGGCCTATAGTTGGACTTATCAGATATGTCTCCAGTCTTGTTCTTTACAATAGGCACCACCACAGTTCTTATCAGAGCCGCGGGCAAGTATGAATGCGATATACATAAGTTATAAAACATAGAAAGTAATCTAGGTAAGTGAGGACCTGCATGTTTAAGGTGCTCAATACTAAGTCCGTCATGGCCAGGAGACTTCCCACGGGACATAGAAGCTATAGTTTTATTGACATCCTTCGCTGTAAATCGAATTCTAATCTCCCGGCCACGCGTATCCTCATCTTCTATGTCCTGTGATGGCTCCAACGGTGATGTCACTGTAAAATGCTCTCTAAACATATCCGCTATAAGACCATGATCATTAATACCATTGACGCTCACTGGTAGGCCAGGTTTACTATTTAAATTATTGGTCGATTTCCAAAAGTTACGAAAATCATTTTTCGCGTGCTGAGTAGCCAAAATGTCCATTTTTATTTGATGGCTGTGGTTCTGACACCACTTCAAGCGCGACTGAAATAAATTGCGACTCCTATGCATGTCCTCATAGACACTACCATTTTTTGGTTTTCCCCACCAAACCCACATTAAAAACTTCGATCTGGCCTCCCTGTGGGCATCGCGTACATATCTGTTCCACCCAACCACAGGCCGCTTGCCAACGCGTGATCTTACAGTGTAGGATTCAGTGGCAGCCACAGATAAAGAATTTACAATTTTACTATATAATTTATCGATACGTAATCTGTGATCAATGCACTTTACAAACACAATTACTACAAGAACGAAATTCTTCGGGAAAATCGATAGCTCTTAACTTTTCATGACATAATTTCGTATATTTTCTGATCTCCTCCGGTTTTCTATCTCCCCATAGAATCTCGTTAGTTACTTTATATACAAAATTCAACTTTAGTTTGACAATATCCAAATTACATTCTATTACTAAAGGATAATGGTCAGACCAGTAGACATCATACTTAACATAAACATTCAAAATAGACGATAAAGCGGATTTCGTCGCCACACAGTGATCAAGCCACCTTCTCGACCCGTGGCTCTCACTTACAAAAGTGTGTGTGCCCGACCTTACACCTAACCGCTGTACATCTACACATGACCACTCTTGTTCGTCACAAAAACACATCAACTCGTTATAAAACCGCTCATTCGGATGTGTGTTAAAGTCGCCAAGGATGTATACACATTCTACATTACTACTATTAATTATAGCATTCACCGAACTGAGACAATCCGTAAATTCCGTAAGGTTTACCATTTTATCTGTGGGCATGTACACACTAAACACTAAGATGGACCTATCACCCAGCACTATTTGTATGCCACATATTCGTGGATTATCACAACACACGACCGACACATTTTGGAAAAGACTTTTGTCCCAAAGCAGCCCAACACCCCCAAAAGGTCGGCCGGAAACCATACCTGCCGCCGAATCCATTGCAGACGTGCCCGTGCTGCCGAAACGCTCATCAATCCCGCTAAGAAATTGAATATCGTGTCCAAATAACCAAGTTTCTTGAAGTGCTATCACACTCGCCGACTGACACAAAAATCTCACATCGTCAACTGAGCGTTTTATACTTTTACAGTTTTTTTTTGTGCTATAATATATATTCACAAACTAATTCTAATACTAAAAACCTTAAAAATATATATTATAATAACTAAATTAAATTATTAAAAAGGGTCCTTTAGGCAAGGTTCCGAAGTTTACAGTGAAGCTAACTAACTTACATTTGAGACTTTTATCCATTTACAGCAGGGATATGGCCGTTCACGGTATTCATTACTACACCGTTCGTGCCACTGCTATTATTTCGCCTGAAGTTAACGAATTGCCTGAATATAACGCCCTCCGGCCAAAGTGTTGCATCTAAAAATATTTTTTATTTTCCGCTCAGGTACAAAAAATTTGAACACGTTATAGTCCTTGTTACCTCTCAAAAAAAGATATCTTTTCCAGTTTAATATTTTCTTGCGTCTTATTGTAAACATATTCCACAATATCCGTCTCCGTCGTCTCCTTATACACCATAGTAATAAAAATTGGCACTTTTCTGTCCGCTGCTTTAAAATTACATTTCTGGTCATTGGAAACACCCGCGGCGTCCAAATAACGATATGACCTCGTTTTAGGTTTCCGACGCTGCACAATATTCCACTCACCTTCTGTTTTAGTCACCTCGGCGAACGATAACACACGGGCTGGCCCCGCAGCTGGCTCCGCTGTCCGGTTCGGCGCTACCTCGCAGCTTGGCTGCGCGCTCGGAGCGCTCGGCGCGCTCGCCGTTTGCGGTGACTCATCACGCGCACCACCCGCGCCAGCCCCGCTACCCTGTACCGCGCTGCGGGCGTCTAGCCCGCTCGCGGGATGTGCTTTGTAACTTCCAAACGCACTACCCTCCATATAATTTATGTTTCTATAGTTTAAATTAAGATCTCTCGGAGATGACGCTTCAACATCGGACTGCTCGCTCTGATTTGTCATGATCGTATTATCAAGTTGAGACAATGCTATGGGCCCACTTTCTCGATAAGCGCCTCTTCTCATGTTCACCTTTGCAGCTGAGAAGGGCGGCGATGGATTTCTGAGATTTTGGCATTCCGTTTTCACTTTTTCTAGCTGGTCGATAGTTGCGTATGATGACTTAATGTGTTTTATCTCCTGTTTAACCGCTAGGTCTTTAAGTTATTTTGAGACGTCAAGATGATCGAAGGTAATCGGAGGTAACTTATCTAAATCTCTTGCTATGAACACTGGCAAAACATCAGGATCCGGGCCCTTAAAAATGCTGATTATATCGTTTAAAAAACGGGTTTCCTTGCCTTTTCCCTTCCTCTTAGTTTTACGCAGATCCTGCCGTAGGAAATCCACGAGCAATTTATTCGCCTGCTCGATCGCCTCAGACGAAAATGTCGCAGCACATATTCTCACAATACTGTCTTCATCCGCTACAGACAGTTTGTTCTGTACATAAGATAATAATTCACATATGACGATTCTACAGTTGTTGCACGATAACGTCATTTTTATTCCAAAACTAGCACCGCCGCCGTACACAAGATACACTGCACACGACCGATCCGAGGCGCGGCGCTCGCGTCACATAGAATAGAAGGTCACGCAATTAACTAATAAATACTAAGTGTATTTCTTTTTTCTTACTACACCCTCATATTTTTTATTGTCGGTGATACCAGTACACTGTAAAGTTTCTATAAACTTATGATTGTACCGTAACGTAATGTGTAATTAATGAATGTTATAATATATTAAATAAATAAAAAAATTATCACGTCCACATGGGGGGGGGGGTAAACATAATAAATTTTGAATATATCAATTGTTCCATTCAATCTATTCATCTATCATGTGGGAAGCTATGGAATGTAAATGGCTGTTTAATTTTATTTTGTTTGGTTATAATTATTTTTTTCGGCCAAGAAAATTCGGAATTTTCGGTGTATTCGCAGCCTTGTAACAATATATTTTACTGAATATAGACACAACTTTGACTCCGTCGCCATGGTGAGTGGATTACTGTATCGTTTGTTTACAGCGGCTTGTGATTAAAAATATCGATCGCTGTAGAAATACAAAATATTACAGAAACTTAATTTGATACGTACTTGACCAAGGTAAGATATTGTTAACCTCTCAAACTCCTGGCGGCCTCATGAGACTGCGGCCATTTTCCGTCAAATACCTAGCAGTCATGAGGCCGCACCCACCCATAGCACTTTCACCCAAAAACTTATATATAGAGACTACTTTTTTATGAAGAAGCTTGGCATTATATAATCAATATGAAATTTTCTATATTATATATATATATATATATATATATATATATTTAATATTTATAATCGACGTTCATTTCATACGCCATTTTCGCGTGAATGTTATTGTATTGATTTTTGGATTTTTCTAGTATTTAATTAGTGTTTTAGTATAGTGTTTTATTATAAAATTGTAATGAAAGTTTTTGTGTGGATATAATTTATCTTTTTACGTAAATAATTTGGAGTAATGTATATTGAAATAATGGTGATTTTCACGCTGCCGTTTTTTTGTTATCAAAATACAAAAAAATCTTTTTGTAAATAAGTAAAACCTGGCTTTTGTTTAGACCACAGGATAGAGAATTTTTTATAGATTTTATAATGCCAAATTTCTTTATAGAAAAGTAGTCTCTAAATATAAGTTTTAATGATTTTAAGTGAAGGTAGGTATGGTCTCATGCGACCGCTCGGGATTTGCCGGGCGCATGCAACTGCATGGGATTTTTATTAGGATTGAAGGGTTAATATTATTATTATAATAAAAAAATCATTGCAATATATTGTTTCGATAAAAGTACGTTTGATTTATATATAAATATAATTATGCGTCTTGGACTTTATAAAGTGACCTGAAAACGTACTATGGTGAATGCTAAATTAAAATACTGATTATAAGCAGATGAAAAAATTTTTTTCAAAAATTTTTTAAGGAGTATAAATTATTAACGATTCACGTAAAAATATTAGTATTTATGATAGTGACTGAGTTCACCACTACAAATACGATACAATACACTATAACTAGGACAAATACCTAAAAATTCAAATATTATTTAAGTTGATTCCTGATCGTTTTAAGATAATTCTTATAAAAGTTTTTCCAGTTAACAATAATAAAAAAATTGAATCTCAATAATAATAACATAGTAAAATAAAAAAATATATTCTTTTGATGATTGAGATTACTTTTTACATTTTTCACGATCATAATACGAGTATTATGAGTTGTGCACTTTCGGATGTTAATTTTTTTTATTGACGTTTGACATAAAATTAACGAAAAGTGATTGTGACAATGTGATTTGTGAAAACTTGTGTGTATTTAAAATACTTTAAAAAAATGACGTACAAAATGAGCGCTTAAGGCATGCACATTTGGATTTACCAATTTTTTTAATAAAATAAGGATGGCAAACAAGCTCACAGTCCAGATACAGTCACAGTACAGATGGTGAGTGGACGCTGCGGTTTATATAAATCTATACTTAACATCACTTAAGACTCAAAATGCAGATGCATAGTCACCCTAGAATACTAAGATGGAGTGCCTCATTTCCAGTAATAAAGGTTTCCGATTCTTTACAGTGTACACGCACCACACGAAACACAGCAGCACACTGCTGCACATGGGCGTGCAACTTAGAACATTATTTTGAGAACAAAGTGATATTTTTTTGTACTGCCATCTACATTGCAAAACCTTAGGCTAGACTTATTTTTTCAACTAGAGGGCACGCTTATATATTAGGTTCATGCATACGAAACAATCTATGTTCCATGCGCACTTTACTACGCAGATAATGGCGGTCGCTAGTAGTAAAGATTAGATTGATATTAATGGATATTAATATCTATTTAACGTTATTCATATTTCGCGTGTGTTTATGTCTTTTCTTTCATTATAAACCCTGTTTAGTTTTGTTTATTGAATATGCACAAAAATGTCACTAAAGGAATGTATATTTAAATGTGACCGATTTGGTTAGTACTTTTTTAATATTCGCGTAATTTCCAGTTTTTTGTTCACTTGTAAACAGCTAATATCTAAGAAATTGAAGGTTGGGGCGTGGTCTGTAATGATCAAAAGTCCACTGACCACTATTTGCCATAGCTGCCACGCTTGGCAGGCGGGTTATTGCCCATCTCCTGTTTTAGTTTCCCTCTCTCGCCTCGAAATTAATGATTATAAAGTACGATCTCTATATAACAAATCGGAAGGGAACAAGTAAATATTGGTTATATCAAGTAATTCGTTGAACTGAGGTTTGTTATGTTGAGGTTAGGTTGGTCGAAATTCAGTTATGAAGAGGTAAAAAAATCGTAAAATGAGTCACATACTATGCGATTAAAGGTCATACATGGTGGGAACTTTATTGTTACGAGCTTGAGGTTCGTGACAATAAAAATTGCCGATAAAATTACCTAAATTAACACTTTAATTTACTTTACACAAATCAAAACTTAAAACACTAATAATTAAACACACTAATTCACTTTATTCCGCTCCGAAGCTTCGCTTTTCTCGCCAAATCAACACTGCCTCGATCGCATCTTGCAGCGCCTATTTATATAAATTAGCAAAGAAGCATCCGGAATATTCAAGTAAATGCGCGCAAAGGGACGAGTGTGCGAGTGTAGATTTTCTAGAAACTTAGTTCTTCGGATGGCGCTGTCGGTTGAGAGATTTGTGATGTCATTTTCTGCAAAGCTCCCCTCGCTCTCGTTCCTGACACTAGATGGCGCTAGTTGGCTTATTCACGCAACACTGCCCGACATGCTCGTCCCGAGCATTATCGGTCCCATAATAACGCGCCAAGCGATCCACATGGACGATCTTAGGAGTCCCTCTTGCGCCTTTCTGTATCCGGTAGGTCACATCGTTGATCCTGGTTACAATCCGGTACGGGCCGTCCCATTTAGCTTGAAGCTTAGGAGATTTCCTTTTGCTGCGGATTGGATTGTGCAACCACACTAATGAACCTTCGTTGAACCCTTTATTGTTCATTTTGCGGTCGTACCGGGTTTTCATTTTCTCAGACATTTGCTGGCCCGATTGTCTGACGTGCTCATAAATGTCGTTCATTTTGTTCCGCAAGTCATTTGCATAATCGGTTATACTGCGTGGGGCATCAGGTGGTATCCCGGTGATCAGGTCTGCAGGCAGCCGTAATTCTCTTCCAAAGTTTGCGAAAGCTTTTCGCAAACTTTGGTGAACAGAACTTCGATATGACAACAAAAACTTTTGTTGTATGTGCTTGTCCCAATCTCGTTGCCGATTGTCTACAACTTTTGCTAGGTACCTCTCCAATGTCTGATTAAATCGTTCTACCATTCCATCAGATTGCGGGTGATAAGAAGTCGTTCGTGTTTTATGAGTACCCATAACTCGGCAAGTTTCCTGGAATATTTGAGACTCGAAATTCCTTCCTTGATCGCTGTGAATCTCTAAAGGTACACCAAAACGACAGAAGACTTCATGAACTAGCTTATCAGCAACTGTTGAAGCTTCTTGATTTGGAATGGCGAAGACTTCTGGGCATTAGTGAAGTAATCCATCACAACCATGAAATACTTGTTACCGCTTTCACTCTCCGGAAACAGGTCCGCGACGTCAATGGCTATTCTCTCCCATAGTGCACCAACATTGTACAACTTCAATGCACCTCTACTACGAGTCTGAGGTCCCTTTACAGCCGCACAACTTGTACATTTGCGACACCAGTCCTCGACATCGCTTCGACAGTGGACCCAGTAAAACCGTTCTCGGATCTTCAGTAGAGTTCGTTTAACTCCCAGATGGCCTCCTGAACAATCATTATGGTACAGCTGTAGAACATCCGGTACTTTAGATTTAGGGACAACCATTTGCAAATGACAGCTGTCTCCCCGAACGTTTTCCCATTTACGACACAGAACTCCATCTTGAAGCAGCAAGCTGTCCCACTGGGCCCAATAGCTTTTAGTGGTCGAACTCATCGCTGAGACGTC